TTTTTTTTTTTTTTTTCAGCACAAACTACTGATTTCTAGTTACGGCAAGACATGGATTCTTCAAGCGCGTTCAGAAATGGAGGCAGATCGTAAACTAAGCGTCTTTTACTTAGAATTATTATATGTGGCTTGTTCTTGTTGCCGATATAACGCAGGCTCTGACTGAAGACGTCGGTCTCGGTTAATAAGTAGTTAGTATTACTTAACTTTTTCTATTCGTTTCCTGATTTCTTTGCAAAAAATACATCAATTATGAAAGGGAACCTTTAATTCAGCGGGGATAAAGTAACACTGCAAGAGGGCTGACCCGAAGTAGGTTTTGATAACACCTCCACGCTCACAACAAGCATTACAACATGCCCGATTGATCTGCGAAGCCGTAACTATGAAAAACTAAGGAAATTGTGTCCAGTGCTACCATAATGTTAAAATTTTAAAGACTGTGTATAACGACAAGAACATACATTTTTGACCATTGTTTAAGGCCTTACGTAAACAGAAATGCACAAACCTTAATTGACCCTAAGGTTGCTGACTTTTATGCACTTACCACATAAACCACACAGCAAGAGTCTTGTGAGCCATTTTAAGAGAGGAAAACAAATCACGGAAGTCTCCAAGCCTTTCTTCCTTAGGCAGAAAAAGCTTTTCGCGTGGCATTTCTTTACCATTCAGCCTGGCCACTTTACTTAGAATTTCCCTTGCCTCGGCCTGTCGACCTTTCTTTAGAAGCCAACGGACTGACTCAGGGATAAAACTGCGAAGCCATAACGAAAGGCAAGACATTAGATTCTTTTCAATTAACTTCGTATTCCTTATGGATTTGTTTATAAAGAAAGATGGCTGATTTAAGCTGTTTCTCGCTCCCCTAGAGTGCAAGGGAAGGGATGTACCGTACTTTGACTTGAAAACAACAGCCAGTTAAAAACGAAATATCTTCGGATATATTTTAAAGTTCTTTTAAAACAAGTTTTTAACAGGTCTTTTATCGCAAAATATCAAATAATGCAGATTGTTTCTGTCCGGTTTTTGAAGAAAATTATACAAAAAAAGCTCAGCACGGAATTACTTACAACCAGCCAGCCACATACACAATCCCCGGAACACCAGTTACTATGGTCAGTTGTCTCCAGTCTCTAATGAAATATGCAATTCCTGATAAAATCATGATAGCCACATCATAAGCCATCCACACAACTGATCCAGCGATCCCTCGGTGACGAACTCCAGAAAACTCTGTTGTCAATACGAACATCGGAATACTGTAGGCACCTACGATTGAAAAATAAGCCATGAAGGTTCTCCTAAACTGTAAACGTTCTGACTGAATGACGCCATCTTAAGGAAACTTTTTTTTTTTATCTTTTTTTTTTTTTGGGAAAGGAAAACTTAAGGAAACTTCATCCCTGTTAGAGAAGTTCGAATAGTTAGAGAGCAAGGATCACTATCACAGTATTAGCGCAAAAATGTCGTTTTCCTTCCTCGTCGTTGTTCGCGTTTCATTTCTCTCCATAACCGATCAGCTCCCAAAACTCTTAGGCGCAACGTGTATAAATAAAGTGTTGATTATCGATTAATTGACTAACTGACTGACTGACTGAGTGATTGATTGACTGACTGACTGATTGATTGATTGATTGGTTGGTTGGTTGGTTGGTTGATTAATTGATTGAATGATTCATGCTAAGGAATATGCTAAATGTAATCAGCCCTAAAAGGCAAAAACAGTAAATGAACATTTCATAACTGAAACTAAGACCTGTTTCTTACCAATCATGAATCCAACGATGGCACGAAAAAGAGCAAACACCCAGAATGCAGGAGAAAACGCCGAAACAAAATTAAACAGGCAGCAAAAGAAGCCACAAACAAACAGTGGGAGTTTGCGACCAAACTTGTCAGAGATGGTACTCACGGAGACACTGCCAACAACAAAACCAGCAAAGATAACAGAGGTTGAAACGAATCCAAGAGAGCCACGATCACAAACAAGGTCAAACTGTAAAAAGAGTAAGGAAACGGTAATGTCCTGTACATACAGCTCGTCAAATACGATACGGTTGTTAATATAACCACCCATTTAGGGACAATTAAAGGAATTGTGTTAGACGCCCTACGTGTAGTTTCATCGTAAAAATAGGTCCCTTGACAAGGTAAACAAATACCAGTTGTCTTCAAACAAGAAGCAAACAATGGTGGCTTTTTAAATATATTTTTCATATATGTTTCAGTGAAATGCGATTTTGTGCCTTTTAAGAATAAAACTATGGTGGACATCACGTTTGAATTTTGAAGTAAATACAGAAAACTCCCTCCGAAACAACTTGTTTGACAATATTTATTAGACCAATGGCCACATTTCCCTTTATTGTGCATTGGAACATTTAATTATTGATGTTTCTTTAAGCTTGTAACTATGTGGGGGTTTTTTCCCCTCATGGCTGTGACTTGAAACTCTTCTGAATGGATCCTTAATGCTGCAAACATGGCTCAATAGCTAATAATTAAAAGTTAGGGGAGACAAACTATTAGTTTTGTTGCTATTTAGGAGTTTTGACTTTATTGCATTGAATTACAACTAACATCAACTGGGACAACAGAAAGGATTTTGCTAATTTCCGCCACTCCTCTGTGCTTTATTTTTCCATCCTGTTTCGTTTTCTTCAATTCTCCTCACTCCACACACAGACTGTACAGATCAGGATTCAGATCAGATTCAGATTTCAGATTTTTACTGTTTTGCACTATTTACATTTTTAAACAATCGATCTATTAAACAATTAGATTATGAGGTCGAAATTTCTATCGCGTGATAATTGACTCGGTCTGCGCCCTTGTCAACTATCACGCACAGAAATCGAGAGTGAGTAATCTAATTGTTTTAGTATAAATCTAATAGTCGTTCAAACCTTAACAGTCTTAAATCCTCTTCACAGACACTTCAAAACGCAAAGAAGCGCCCGCCAGTTTGTTAACAAGCGCTCACTGTTACGCCACTCACTATCTCCAACAGAATAGATAGTGAGTAGCGTAGCCAATCAGAGAACGCCATTCGTGATAGAACGCTAGTAGATTTATCCTAAAACTAAATATTACATAATATTAACAACAAGAACACAGAAACAAAAATTACAACAAATGCAATTTATCTTCAGTTACTTCTAGTATCGTTTAATGCGTTTGTTTGTTTGTTTTCCAATTTTCTAGCCAGAATAGTTAAATGTCATTGCTTCTGCATGCTTTGCGCGCCTTTTATGTGAGCATGCCCTGCTCTTAGAGCAGATGTTGTTTCACCGTGCAAACAAAACAAACAAAGCTAAGTTCACTTATTAACTCATTCATACGCGCATGCGCAATGAATGAGTTGTTACAAGAGGGGCTTCAGGTGTAAACTTTTTTTTAATATTATTGTTACGTTACCTCGGTGACGACTGAAGTAANCGAGTGAGCAGTTTGTTAACAAGCGCTCACTGCTATGCCACTCACTATCTACAACAGAATAGATAGTGAGTAGCGTAGCCAATCAGAGAACGCCATTCGTGATAGAACGCTAGTAGATTTTTCCTAAAACTAAATATTACATAATATTAACAACAAGAACACAGAAACAAAAATTACAACAAATGCAAGTTACCTTCAGTTACTTCTAGTATCGTTTAATGCGTTTGTTTGTTTATTTTCCAATTTTCTAGCCAGCATAGTTAAATGTCATTTCTTCTGCATGCTTTGCATGCCTTTTATGTGAGCATGCCCTGCTCTTAAAGCAGATGTTGTCTCTCCGAACAAACAAAACAAACAAAGCTAAGTTCACTTATTAACTCATTCATGCGCGCATGCGCAATGAATGAGTTGTTGCAAGAGGGGCTTCAGGTGTAAACTTTTTTTTAATATTATTGTTACGTTACCTCGGTGACGACTGAAGTAAAATCATCAGCAAATTCCCAGTCTTCTGGGGGAATATCACATCTGTGATTATAGTTGTCGTGTCCTAAACTAATGGTCCCTGTAAACGGACACGTGGAGTTATTTTTGCACTTCCAGCCGGGCTCCGATGCAATGAACACCATCACCAACACAGGAAACGCCCACCACAATCCGTAAGCGATGTTAAAATATATGTTCAGCACGATTTGGTAGCGACCAAAGCTTCCAATTTTTTCCAGAATTTCGTCAGTGGTTAATTTCATTGCTGAAAGGGATTAAATTGGCGATTATTCCCAGATCCCTTATTTTGAAATTGCAGAGTTCTGCCTTAACCATACTTGGGCCTATTTCTTAGAAGGATGCGAGGTGTTCCAGTTTATTTAAACGCAAAAAGAATGCCGAAAACACTGCTGACCCGCACAACATAAATTGACGGCCTTCCAAGTCATAAACAATCATTGGGCGAGGTTATTCTAGCCTGCGAACGCAGACGTATTTCCGGCTGTCACTTGATTCCGCCGAAAAATAACGTCTGCGAACCCNTTAAACGCAAAAAGAATGCCGAAAACACTGCTGACCCGCACAACATAAATTGACGGCCTTCCAAGTCATAAACAATCATTGGGCGAGGTTATTCTAGCCTGCGAACGCAGACGTATTTCCAGCTGTCACTTGATTCCGCCAAAAAATAACGTCTGCGAACCCGAGCCAGAAAACGATCTCTGTGACGTTGGAATTCTAAGCCAATCACAGTTTAGCTCAAATAACCCGAGGTATTCGCTGCGAGGAGCACTCGAGTTTCATTCTATCATGGAATCTGATTGGCCAAGGAGAAATAAAAGTCATTACGTCACAGAAATCGTTTTCTGGCTCGGGTTCGCAGACGTTATTTTTCGGCGGAATCAAGTGACAGCCGNCATGAATCATAACTCGTTATTATACAACATTAGGTGTTAAATCAAGAATTCGAAGCAATGTTCCTGAAGATAGTATTAAGATTTCTGGGAAAAAATCTTGCATAAGTAGTATATGAGCGTACTGTTTCATGAACTCTTCAGATGGAGGTCAGCGCTGACGTTACTAACATTAATTCAATACATGGCGAGGCTCAAAGGTACAACCCGGTGTTCGATTACACAAAGAAATTTGTTTTGAAATTTGTTCTAAGGAACGAGCGAAGAGATCTTACTTCGCTCTTGTATTTAACCGTATTCATCTTAATTACCTTACACACGTGCCCAACACTTGAAAACAGACCGGTTACGTCGGCGCCAAATGAAAACCTGGTAAACCCGGTACCCAAATAAATCTCCGAAACGGGATGCATGGTAACGAACCCCCGTGTGATTCTGAAAAATCCTCTGAAAAGCTCACGGGGTTCTTTGTAAGCCTGACGGTCTTCCGGAAGGATGGCTTGCGACGTAAAGATTTAAGAATAATCAAAATTTGTATCAGACTGTATCGGCACTACTCTTTGGATGGCCGGAATGCCATTTATATCGGGTTCTCCACCTTTAATGCAGACGCGCGTGAACCAATGGAGCTTAGGAATTAGGAAATTTCGAGTAGTACACGCAATTTAAGGCAAAGAACATTAGCTGTAAAGTTTACTTACCAAAGAAATTCTCTCATAGAGGGCTCGAACTAAGTGTTTGTAAGATGTGGTTTGTAAGATGAAGTTTGTAAGATAACTCTTCGAGTCCAAGGCAGCCGGGCAACTGACGGCAGGTGCTTAATGCCCTTGGGATTTAGGGCGGGCAAAGCAAATGACAAGCTGACAGCTACAATAAAAATACACACATTCTCTGTCTCAGTTCAACTGATAACGACATTCCTGCGAGGTTACAATTGAACGGAGGGTAATTAATAATTAGTAAACAATTTACTAAGCCGGAGTGAATGATACATCAGCAGCAGGGTAAAGTATTCTGTAATTTACGTTGATTTCATCTTTGGTCGTGAAACCGCTCAATGAAATAAAGTTATCGTAGTCACGTTTCGATGACAATTTGAGGTTTATCTTGACATTAATCTCCTTAACATTTTTTTTTTTTTACAATAATCCTCAAAAGTGGCTAATTAAGACTCTTATCAGTCCCTCTGTCAAGTCTACTAAAGAGTCTCTGGCTGTATCCAGTGATAGGACCGAAAATTCCAATTTCATTTAATCCGCCGAAAAGACCGTTCTGAGGGTAAGATTTCGCTCAGCAGTCTATAAAAATTTCCCAGTTGTCCAAAATACGAATATTGGTGATATGGATAAAAATAAACCTACCTTTCTTCAGTTGTGTATCCATGTATATAACCCTTCTAACTACGGCTATTCAACGTTTCGGCAGTCGGTACAAGAAAAATACTTGTAAAGGCGACCTACACTGGGGATTGTATGATTGACATTGTTATTGACAGGCCATTCTTATCTCCATAGTCTGCGCTCCTTTTGGTCAGCAGACCAAAAGGAGCGCGGCCTCTGTAGCTCATTTACTTTTCCCCGTGCGACGATGGGCGCAATTCTGTAATGTGAAGGAGGGTGGGTACTCCTTTGTATTTTTTTTTTTAAAATTGGAGAATAGAACCCTTTCCCCCTACAAATCCTTATATTTTGGCTGTTGCGAAACGTCAGTACTAGTGTATGTATACTGTAGTATTGGGTGATTGCCTGCGTGTACCCCTCCCCTCCCCCTTTAGTAATTACTGTAAGTCACTTCACTGATCCTGCAATAACCATGTGCTCTGTTGAGTTGTTGAACTGTATATCTCGTAAATCTGTGATTAAAAGTTTTAACGCTTTGTTTTATTGTGGAATCGTGGCGTCACAATACGGACGTTCATTTTGCAAGCTTGCGTTTGGGTCACCTGTGGCCACACAAACCTTTAGATATGGTATACTCATAGCATAATTTTTTTTTAGAACTTCTTATTTGTCGCGATATTCATATACTAGATCGTCTGAAAACACCGTTCGAAAATTTTTCATCCTTCTTTATTTTTAACTCTAGACAAATGCCTTTTAGAGCGCTCAACGGCCTAAAGTGTACCACAACACCGCGCACTTTAGGTGGTCACGTCCCACTCGATATGCGTGCATAAAACATTAATATTTGTTCGATTCCTCGAATCGTGAGTTTGGGACGTCTGTGACACAAGCTGCATTTTAGATGCTGCAGTTTCCCAATTTATGCTGGCATGACATTGCATCAACTATTGATGCGCCTTTTACAATTCTCTTAGAATTATACCGTAAATCGTCGAATTAGTATAAAATGTTCAAGCAAGCAACCGGAACGATGATCCTGCTGGTATACGTTGGATCAATAGTTGTTCTAATCGGCTTCACATATAAAATGAAGAATACAAAAGCAGATAGGATGAATTTTTGAAGGTGTTTTTTGAAGATGTTCGCTCTTGTATTCTCGAATTAGTGCCCAGGCGCTTATTTCTAATTTAGGAGAAGACGGGGGGGCGATTATTCGAGGGGGTCGCTTATTTAATTTTTCCCAAATCGTGGCCTGACATGATCATTTTTGTAATACATCATCTGAGAGTAAACAACAACATAAGCTGTTTATCGACGCGCAAAGCTGATCCTAAAGTTTAAATCAAAGCACTGTTAGTACTTGTATTTTTTTCCAAACTTAACGTGTTCACAAACTGAAACAATGTACAAATCTAATACTACTCGACGAAAACTATACATCCTTTGTTGTCTCGATACTCGTCCACAAAGTGGAGGGAGGGGAAAGGGCGCTTATTTTAAATTTTGACCGATAGGAGAGGCGCTTATTCGAAGGAGGCGCTTATTCAAGGGGGGCGCTAATTCGAGGATTTACGGTATATATGTGTTCGCAAATGAGAAACAAAAGTCATTACTTCACAGAAATCGTTTTCTGACTCGGGTTCGCAGACGTTATTTTGCGGCGGAATCAAGTGACAGCCGGAAATACGTCTTCGTTCGCAGGCTAAGGTTATTCTGGAAATCACAAAAACCGAATCTAATAATTGTTTTATTATACGTTGAACGAAAAATGGAAATCATGTTTTTGCTTCCTCACTGACGGCAAGCAACACAAAGCGCGCAAACTTGACATGATTACCATTGGAAATCATGCACCGCAGAGATACATGATTACCCGTGACCTTGAGTGTCCTTGAAATGATTGTTGTATAATCTGCGGCTAGATGACGTCACAGGCACTGATTTCGAAAATTCACTGTACCCTTTCGGACAATCAGAAAAGAGATAGTGAGTTCAATGTATAATAATGGCGGTCATAGGCCGGTCAGCGCGGTTTTAAGCTAGTCGAGTAATGTTGGTCTAATTTTAGCCCAGTAAACACTGGTGAATAATTTCTTTTCACGCCATTGGCGCATTGAGAAGATCTAAACAATTGCGAATTTTGCAGGTGAAATATAAATTCAGTTTTGACCAGGCGTCGTCCCCGGCGTCGTCATGGTCGTTGCTTATATAGCTCCCTGTTTATATGGTTTGACAGAATCCAAGAGGCATTTTTCACACGTGTGTAAATAAGCATTCTTTTTCAGGATTGTTATTCTCATACAGTTCATCCGTCCCCTATCAAACGGCCACCCTCGGGAAAATGGTTAAGTTATCATTGGGAGTTTGATTACTGGCCGGCTTATAGGGATGGCCTGTTTACGTGACCACTTAATACGGCTTGGACTTCATTTGTAATAATCTAAGCTATTATAAGCAATGTTAAGACAGTCTCAATGCTTCTTCTTTCGAAATTCAAAATATTAATCATGTTAGGTTTTATTGTTTTTTCAGGATAAAATAACGGACACATTTCATATCGAATGGACAAAACCCAAATTAAACAAACAAGTGAGCATGTTAGTCTAGCGTTACAATTCTAAATCCATGGGCTACCGTTTATATATTGTTTGCTATTTTTCTTTACCTTTTTTAAATTTAGTGTTAATAAGTTTGCCTTTAACATATAATCAATTTCTAGGGAATCATTGTACAAGCAGTTAAATAACACCGATCTCTCTCTGTAAATCCTGAGTATGCAGTATATTCATTA